CGCAGGACTCACCTGGGTGGTGCACGACTCACCTGGGAGGTGCACGACTCACCTGGGAGGCGCAGGACTCACCTGGGAGGTGCAGGACTCACCTGGGAGGTGCAGGACTCACCTGGGAGGTGCAGGACTCACCTGAGAGGAGTAGGACTCACCTGGGAGGCGCAGGGCTCACCTGGGAGATGCAGGACTCACCTGGGAGGCGCAGGACTCACCTGGGAGGTGCACGACTCACGTGGGAGGCGCAGGACTCACCTGGGAGGTGCACGACTCACCTGGGAGGTGCACGACTCACCTGGGAGGCGCAGGACTCACCTGGGAGGTGCAGGACTCACCTGGGAGGTACAGGACTCACCTGGGAGGTGCAGGACTCACCTGGGAGGTGCAGGACTCACCTGGGAGGTGCGCAACTCACCTGGGAGGTTCAGGACTCACCTGGGAGGAGTAGGACTCACCTGGGAGGCGCAGGGCTCACCTGGGAGATGCAGGACTCACCTGGGAGGCGCAGGACTCACCTGGGAGGTGCAAGACTCACCTGGGAGGCGCAGGACTCACCTGGGAGGTGCACGACTCACCTGGGAGGTGCACGACTCACCTGGGAGGCGCAGGACTCACCTGGGAGGTGCAGGACTCACCTGGGAGGTACAGGACTCACCTGGGAGGTGCACGACTCACCTGGGAGGCGCAGGACTCACCTGGGAGGTGCACGACTCACCTGGGAGGTGCACGACTCACCTGGGAGGCGCAGGACTCACCTGGGAGGTGCAGGACTCACCTGGGAGGTGCACGACTCACCTGGGAGGCGCAGGAAATCACCTGGGAGGTGCACGACTCACCTGGGAGGTGCACGACTCACCTGGGAGGCGCAGGACTCACCTGGGAGGTGCACGACTCACCTGGGAGGTACAGGACTCACCTGGGAGGTGCAGGACTCACCTGGGAGGTGCACGACTCACCTGGGAGGCGCATGACTCACCTGGAAGGTGCAGGACTCACCTGGGAGGTGCACGACTCACCTGGGAGGTGTAGGACTCACCTGGGAGGTGCACGACTCACCTGGGAGGTGCAGGACTCACCTGGGAGGTTCAGGACTCACCTGGGAGGCGCAGGACTCACCTGGGTGGTGCACGACTCACCTGGGAGGTGCACGACTCACCTGGGAGGCGTAGGACTCACCTGGGAGGTGCAGGACTCACCTGGGAGGTGCAGGACTCACCTGGGAGGTGCAGGACTCACCTGAGAGGAGTAGGACTCACCTGGGAGGAGCAGGGCTCACCTGGGAGATGCAGGACTCACCTGGGAGGCGCAGGACTCACCTGGGAGGTGCACGACTCACCTGGGAGGCTCAGGACTCACCTGGGAGGTGCACGACTCACCTGGGAGGTGCACGACTCACCTGGGAGGCGCAGGACTCACCTGGGAGGTGCAGGACTCACCTGGGAGGTACAGGACTCACCTGGGAGGTGCACGACTCCCCCTGGGAGGCGCAGGACTCACCTGGGAGGTGCAGGACTCACCTGGGAGGTGCAGGACTCACCTGGGAGGTGCAGGACTCACCTGGGAGGTGCGCAACTCACCTGGGGGTTCAGGACTCACCTGGAGGAGTAGGACTCACCTGGGAGGCGCAGGGCTCACCTGGGAGGGTGCAGGACTCACCTGGGAGGCGCAGGACTCACCTGGGAGGTGCACGACTCACCTGGGAGGCGCAGGACTCACCTGGGAGGTGCACGACTCACCTGGGAGGTGCACGACTCACCTGGGAGGCGCAGGACTCACCTGGGAGGTGCAGGACTCACCTGGGAGGTACAGGACTCACCTGGGAGGTGCACGACTCACCTGGGAGGCGCAGGACTCACCTGGGAGGTGCACGACTCACCTGGGAGGCGCACGACTCACCTGGGAGGCGCAGGACTCACCTGGGAGGTGCACGACTCACCTGGGAGGTGCAGGACTCACCTGGGAGGTGCAGGACTCCCCTGGGAGGTGCAGGACTCACCTGGGAGGTGCAGGACTCACCTGGGAGGTGCAGGACTCACCTGGGAGGTGCGCAACTCACCTGGGAGGTTCAGGACTCACCTGGGAGGCGCAGGACTCACCTGGGAGGTGCAGGACTCACCTGGGAGGTGCAGGACTCACCTGGGAGGTGCAGGACACACCGGGGAGGTGTAGGATTCACCTGGGAGGTGCAGCACTCACCTGGGAGGTGCAGGACTCACCTGGGAGGTGCAGGACTCACCTGGGAGGTGCAGGACTCACCTGGGAGGCGCAGGACTCACCTGGGAGGTGCAGGACTCACCTGGGAGGTGCAGGACTCACCTGGGAGGTGCACGACTCACCTGGGAGGTGCAGGACTCACCTGGGAGGTGCACGACTCACCTGGGAGGTGCACGACTCACCTGGGAGGTGCACGACTCACCTGGGAGGAGCAGGACTCACACCTGGGAGGTGTAGGACTCACCTGGGAGGTGCACGACTCACCTGGGAGGTGCAGGACTCACCTGGGAGGTTCAGGACTCACCTGGGAGGCGCAGGACTCACCTGGGTGGTGCACGACTCACCTGGGAGGTGCACGACTCACCTGGGAGGCGTAGGACTCACCTGGGAGGTGCAGGACTCACCTGGGAGGTGCAGGACTCACCTGGGAGGTGCAGGACTCACCTGAGAGGAGTAGGACTCACCTGGGAGGAGCAGGGCTCACCTGGGAGATGCAGGACTCACCTGGGAGGCGCAGGACTCACCTGGGAGGTGCACGACTCACCTGGGAGGCTCAGGACTCACCTGGGAGGTGCACGACTCACCTGGGAGGTGCACGACTCACCTGGGAGGCGCAGGACTCACCTGGGAGGTGCAGGACTCACCTGGGAGGTACAGGACTCACCTGGGAGGTGCACGACTCACCTGGGAGGCGCAGGACTCACCTGGGAGGTGCAGGACTCACCTGGGAGGTGCAGGACTCACCTGGGAGGTGCAGGACTCACCTGGGAGGTGCGCAACTCACCTGGGAGGTTCAGGACTCACCTGGGAGGAGTAGGACTCACCTGGGAGGCGCAGGGCTCACCTGGGAGATGCAGGACTCACCTGGGAGGCGCAGGACTCACCTGGGAGGTGCACGACTCACCTGGGAGGCGCAGGACTCACCTGGGAGGTGCACGACTCACCTGGGAGGTGCACGACTCACCTGGGAGGCGCAGGACTCACCTGGGAGGTGCAGGACTCACCTGGGAGGTACAGGACTCACCTGGGAGGTGCACGACTCACCTGGGAGGCGCAGGACTCACCTGGGAGGTGCACGACTCACCTGGGAGGCGCACGACTCACCTGGGAGGCGCAGGACTCACCTGGGAGGTGCACGACTCACCTGGGAGGTTTCAGGACTCACCTGGGAGGTGCAGGACTCCCCTGGGAGGTGCAGGACTCACCTGGGAGGTGCAGGACTCACCTGGGAGGTGCAGGACTCACCTGGGAGGTGCGCAACTCACCTGGGAGGTTCAGGACTCACCTGGGAGGCGCAGGACTCACCTGGGGGGGTGCAGGACTCACCTGGGAGGTGCAGGGGCTCACCTGGGAGGTGCAGGACACACCGGGGAGGTGTAGGATTCACCTGGGAGGTGCAGCACTCACCTGGGAGGTGCAGGACTCACCTGGGAGGTGCAGGACTCACCTGGGAGGTGCAGGACTCACCTGGGAGGCGCAGGACTCACCTGGGAGGTGCAGGACTCACCTGGGAGGTGCAGGACTCACCTGGGAGGTGCACGACTCACCTGGGAGGTGCAGGACTCACCTGGGAGGTGCACGACTCACCTGGGAGGTGCACGACTCACCTGGGAGGTGCACGACTCACCTGGGAGGAGCAGGACTCACACCTGGGAGGTGCAGGACTCACCTGGGAGGTGCAGGACTCACCTGGGAGGTGCAGGACTCACCTGGGAGGTGCAGGACTCACCCGGGAGGTGCAGGACTCACCTGGGAGACGCAGGACTCACCTGGGAGGCGCAGGACTCACCTGGGAGGTGCAGGACTCACCTGGGAGGTGCACGACTCACATGTGAGGCGCAGGACTCACCTGGGAGGTGCACGTCTCACCTGGGAGGTGCACGACTCACCTGGGAGGTGCACGACTCACCTGGGAGGCGCAGGACTCACCTGGGAGGTGCAGGACTCACCTGGGAGGTACAGGACTCACCTGGGAGGTGCACGACTCACCTGGGAGGAGCACGACTCACCTGGGAGGCGCACGACTCACCTGGGAGGTGCACGACTCACCTGGGAGGTACAGGACTCACCTGGGAGGTGCACGACTCACCTGGGAGGCGCAGGACTCACCTGGGAGGTGCAGGACTCACCTGGGAGGTGCAGGACTCACCTGGGAGGCGCAGGACTCACCTGGGAGGTGCAGGACTGACCTGGGAGGCGCAGGACTCACCTGGGAGGCGCAGGACTCACCTGGGAGGTGCACGACTCACCTGGGAGGTATAGGACTCACCTGGGAGGTGCACGACTCACCTGGGAGGCGCAGGACTCACCTGGGAGGTGCAGGACTCACCTGGGAGGTACAGGATTCACCTGGGAGGTGCACGACTCACCTGGGAGGCGCAGGACTCACCTGGGAGGTGCACGACTCACCTGGGAGGTGCTGGACTCACCTAGGAGGTGCAGGACTCACCTGGGAGGTGCACGACTCACCTGGGAGGTGCACGACTCACCTGGGAGGTGCACGACTCACCTGGGAGGTGCACGACTCACCTGGGAGGCGCAGGACTCACCTGGGAGGTGTAGGACTCACCTGGGAGGCGCAGGACTCACCAGGGAGGTGTAGGACTCACCGGGGATGTGCAGGACTCACCTGGGAGATGCAGGACTCACCTGGGAGGTGCAGGACTCACCTGGGAGGTAGTGGACTCACCTGAGAGGTGCATGACTCACCTGAGAGGTGCAGGACTCACCTGAGAGGTGCAGGACTCACCTGGGATGCGCAGGACTCACCTGGGAGGCGCAGGACTCACCTGGGAGGTGAAGGAAGAGAGGGAGGACAGGGAGACAGCACGAGTGGGGGGTCGCCACGTGCCACCACCTCCGTGTCTGCACGTAAACAAAACATGTCATTAACACGTTCATACGTGTACAGAACTTGTTTTGGTATTAAAGTGACATTCATACACGTTCCGGTGTTAAATTCACGTTGATACACGTTCAGGATTTGTTTTACTGTGTGAGGGCGATCTTACAAGAGCCTGCGTGAGGGCGATCTTACGACAAGACCCTGTGCGAGGGCGAACTTACAAGAACCTGTGTGAGGGCGATCTTACGACAATAATCTCAGTGTGGTTTGATCTCAGGGGAAAACTAAGTGCTTTATTTAGATCAAGTGATTACCGAATATTTCTAAAATTAGGTCTGGTCACCTCACCCTCTGTTCCCTCCCTCCCTCTCTCTCTCCATTCCCTGTATCACCCTCTCTTTCCACCCTCCCTCTCCCTTCCCTGTATCACCTTCTCTTTCCGCTCTCCCTCCCTCTAGTTCCACCTCTTCCCCTCCAATCCTCCCTAATCTCCCTCTTTTCCACCCTATTCTCTCCCTTCCTCCCTGACATCCCATCTCACTCCCTCCATAGTTTTCTCAGACCTGAAATTACTTAAAATATTTCGTTGATAAATCTTCACAAGCAGCTAATAATAATAATAATAATAATAATAATAATAATAATAATAATAATAATAATAATAATAATAATAATAATAATAATAATAATCATAATAATAATAATTGTTTATTTCTACAAGTACATGTACAAGATGACTCGCTGACATTTTGTCCCAGGATGCGACCCACGCCAGTCGACTAACACCCAGGTACCTATTTTACTGCTAGGTGAATATGGACAGCAGGTGTCTTAAGAAAACACGTCCTAGTGTTTCCAGCCGTACCGGGGATCGACCCCCGGTGATAAAGTGCACGAAGAGCGTGCAGAGTTACAAGCAACCAGAGGTTATCACACAGCTGGTAAAGGTTGGCACCCAGGCCACGGGTTCGATCCCCAACCAGTTCTCTGGTTTCTTCTGCAATCGTGTTATTATGATTTACTGAGTGATAACAAGACCTTGCTTGATGAGAGAGATGTTTCGCCCACCAGTGAGTGTGTGTGTTCGTTCCCCTCCTGCTTTCTATCAATCTCTCAATAAAGATACACGGTTGTTATACTGTCTAATTCATCAACTTGTTAATAATATGGAGGTGTGAATGTAACACCAGGAACCTTTGTAGAAGACACTTGTGTAACACCAGGAACCTTTGTAAAGGACACTTGTGTAATACCAGGAACCTTAGTATAAGACACTTGAGTAACACCAGGAAGTTGCAGGAACCTTTGTATAAGACACTTGAGTAACACCAGGAAGTTGCAGGAACCTTTGTATAAGACACCTGTGCAACGGTTAAGTATCTTTATTCCGAAACGTTTCACCTCAATTCTCTCCTATACTCTCTCTCCCTCCCCTCCTATACTCTCCCTTTCCCCTCTTCTATACTCTCCCTCTCTCCCTCCTCTTGTGTACTTCCCCCCTTCCTCCTTTCCTATACTCTCCCTCCTTCCTCTCCTATATTTTCCCTCCCTCCCTCTTCTATTCTCTCCCTCCCTTTCTCTTCTTCTATACTCTCCTTCCCTCACTCCTTTCCCACATCTTGCCTCACTTCACAGTACAGACAGCAGCAGCTGTTGTTACCAGGTGGGGTGTAGTCAGGTGGTACGGCAGGAGGAAATACCTGGCAAGGGAGAGAGAGGAGGGGAAGGGAGGGGAGAGGAGAGGGGAGAGGAGTTTCCTGGTGGGAGTTCATGATCCTTCTTCCTGGGTTGCATCACTTGGCGTACTCTCCCGTACTCTCCCGTACTCTCCCGTACTCTCCCGTACTCTCCCGATCAGAGTAACAGTCATGAAGGAATTCTCCACCAAACCTAAAGACTTACAACTACAGTTGCAATAACAGCATGAGAACACAGGAATGTACGAACATAACATAAGAACAGGAGGAACACTGAACAGGTCTGCTGGCCCATGCTAGGCAGGTCCAACTGGAAATTTAAAAAAAAAATATATGATGAATAGAGTACTGAAAGCAACACACCATCACCACAACGCTGCTACTATAACTACAGATAGCTAAACACACACACACACACACACACACACACACACACACACACACACACACACACACACACACACATACACACACACACACACACGAAGCTAAAGGGGAAACTTATGACGAAAGAAAGCAGGAGGAGATAAAAGCGATTGAAGGTATCATGAAGGTAATAGGCGAAGGGGACATGACCCAGGTGGCAAATTTTCGGAGAATCGGGTGGTTCACAAAGAAAAGGAATCGGCCTCTCAAAGTAATTTTCAAGGCAGAATCAACCCGAACCATGATCCTGCAGGAGAAAGCACGGCTGAGAGGCAAGCAGGAGTTCCGGAGTGTGTACCTCGATCGAGACAGAACAAAGGACGAAAGGAAGACGATGAAAGAGTTCAAAAACGAAAGGAGAAATGGGAGGAAATGAAAAAGGAGAGCAGAATAACCCAGGATCAAATGGAAGGACAAGCACACCCCCCAGAAACACCTGCAGAAGGACTCCAGCCACGACACCCCCAAGGCAACTGAACAATCCAAACCAACCATCACACACCGATCCCTCTGTTCCCACCCCCCGCACCACAGTTACAGTATTAGAACAGAAGTTGAAGGTTTGGTACACAAATGCAGATGGATTAACGAATAAACATGAGGAATAGCAAGAAAGAATCAATGAGAAGTCCCCAGACATCATAGCAGTTACAGAAACAAAACTCACGGAGACAATAAAAAATGCAATCTTCCCACCAGGATACCAGATCATGAGGAAAGATAGAAGGGGCAGAGGGGGAGGTGGGGTTGCTCTGCTCGTAAAAAACAGATGGAAATTCGAGAAAATGGAAGGCATAGATGAGACGGGAGAAAGAAACTACATAGTAGGTACACTTCAGTCTGGGGAACACAAAGTGGTCATTGCAGTGATGTATAATCCACCACAGAACTGCAGGAGGCCAAGAGATGAATATGAAGAGAGCAACAGAGCAATGGTGGACACACTTGCTGAGGTGGCAAGAAGAGCTCACTCCAGCAGAGCAAAGTTGCTGGTTATGGGGGATTTCAACCACAGGGAGATTGACTGGGAAAACCTGGAGCCACATGGGGGTCCCGAAACATGGAGAGCCAGGATGTTGGACGTGGTGCTGGAAAACCTCATGCACCAACATATTAAGGACACTACCAGAGTGAGAGGAGAGGATGAACCAGCAAGATTGGACCTTGTGTTCACCCTGGGCAGCTCAGACATTGAGGACATCAAGTATGAGAGTCCCCTAGGAGCTAGCGACCACGTGGTTCTGAGCTTTGAATACATAGTAGAGCTGCAAGTGGAGAGAGTAACAGGAGTTGAATGGGAAAAGCCTGACTATAAAAGAGGGGACTACATAGGGTTGAAGAACTTCCTGCGGGAGGTCCAGTGGGACAGAGAACTGGCAGGAAAGCCAGTAAATGAAATGATGGAATATGTAACAACAAAATGCAAGGAGGCAGTGGAAAGGTTTATTCCCAAGGGCAACAGAAACAACGGGAAGACCAGAACGAGCCCCTGGTTTACCCAACGGTGTATGGAGGCAAAAACAAAGTGCAATAGAGAATGGAAAAAGTACAGAAGGCAGAGAACACACGAAAATAGGGAGATCAGTCGAAGAGCCAGGAATGAGTATGCACAGGTAAGGAGGGAGGCCCAGCGACAGTACGAAAATGACATGGCATCGAGAATCAAGACTGACCCGAAACTGTTGTATAGCCACATCAGGAGGAAGACAGCAGTCAAAGACCAGGTGATCAGATTAAGGACAGAAGGTGGAGAACTCACAAGAAATGATCAGGAAGTATGTGAGGACCTGAACAGGAGATTTAAGGAAGTTTTTACAGTAGAAACAGGAAGGGCTGTGGGAAGACAGCACAGAAGGGAACATCAAGAGGGAATATACCAACAAGTGTTGGATGACATATGAACAACCGAGGAGGAGGTGAAGAAGCTCCTAAGTGACCTTGACACCTCAAAGGCAATGGGACTGGACAACATCTCCCCATGGGTCCTTAGGGAAGGAGCAGAGATGCTGTGCGTGCCTCTAACCACAATCTTCAACACATCCCTTGAAACTGGGCAACTACCTGAGAAATGGAAGACAGCTAATGTAGTCCCCATATTTAAGAAAGGAAACAGAAATGAGGCGCTAAACTACAGACCTGTGTCTCTGACATGTTGAAAATAAATGGTATAAAATACCGACACAATGGAAATATAAACACATATGCAGTATAATGTGATCCTTTATTGACTACGTTTCGCCCACACAGTGGGTTTTTTCAAGTCACAATCAGATCTGTTTGTGACTTGTAAAAGCCCACTGTGTGGGCGAAACGTAGTCAATAAAGGATCACATTATACTGCATGTGTGTTTATGTCTCTGACATGTATAGTGTGCAAAGTCATGGAGAAGATTATCAGGAGGAGAGTGGTCGAACACCTGGAAAGGAACAAGATTATAAATGAAAACCAGCATGGGTTCATGGAAGGCAAATCATGTATCACAAACCTCCTGGAGTTTTATGACAAGGTAACAGCAGTAAGACACGAGAGAGAGGGGTGGGTAGATTGCATTTTCCTAGACTGCAGGAAGGCCTTTGACACAGTTCCCCACAAGAGATTAGTGCAGAAGCTGGAGGATCAGGCGCATGTAACAGGGAGGGCACTGCAATGGATCAGGGAATACCTGACAGGGAGGCAGCAACGAGTCATGGTACGTGAAGAGGTATCACAGTGGGCGCCTGTTACGAGCGAGGTCCCACAGGGGTCAGTTCTAGGACCAGTGCTATTTTTGATATATATGAACGACATGATGGAAGGAATAGACTCTGAAGTGTCCCTGTTCGCAGATGATGTGAAGTTGATGAGAAGAATTAAATCGGATGAGGATGAGGCAGGACTGCAAAGAGACCTGGACAGG